CGTACGTTGTCAGACGCGATTGAGCGAATTAAGATAAACAGTAATTAATAATAAAAGATTAATAACAGAGAAAACGCGCGAGCATTGACCACATCAACTGAGCAGTGTGTTTCATAAAAGACAATAGAATAAAACACCGTGTTCAAGATATCGAGAAACTATTGGATTTATGACGAAATCATATACGAATATCAGATACGAAATCAATATCGATCGATCGATTATAGGACGTCGCGATCAACTGCATAATCACCGGAATCTAGTAAACGGGGTCAAATAATGTGTGTTCAGCAATTTCAACTTACTATTATTAGCAGCACGGCGAACGAAGATGACGGAGATTTCGAGTATCCTCTGTTGTAACCGATTAATAACCGACCATAATGTTAATTGCCGTATAATTAATTCTATATGTTATGTTCTACTGATTAATGAACTTAACGTCGATATTATAAATAGTAATATACGCAATTTAGGTACTTGTTTATTTAAGGCTGTATTTAAGGGATGGTTTGAGGATGCAATAGCCTCATCAAAAATATTTAAGTGGGTTGCAACATTTTTACAGTGATTCTAAAAAAAAAAAAATAGGTTTTTTCGCATTGTCAACGGAAAATTATTTATGAATGATGAATACGAGTAATTAAATTTAGGTAGGTGTATGAAAAATAAATGTAATATTGTAGTAAAATTATTTATATTATTTAGTAGCGTATAAAAAGTATATCTATTTAAAAGTATTTTATTTTAAATAGTATTTTATTGATATTTGTTTAATCTTGATTAGTATGAGGATGGAACATTCATACCGAGAGGTAACCCACCAATCAGTTTTATAAAAGGCCATTTTTTACAACTTTATTTTGGTAATAAAAACTCAGTTTTATTTTTTTTTATTTTTATTAATTACAAATATTGTGTTATAGTATACTTAAATAAGGAAAATTAATAGCGATCGTTGCAAGTGGTTTTTTACTGAATAGTTGAAGACACTTGTTTGTAGATTTGTAGTTTAAGGAAGAGAAACTTCAAAATGTTGTTACCTCTGGGTGGCAAAATTTTAAATACAGCCTTGCGTATAACTATCAATTCAGGTTGTCAATCGAAAGTAAAATAAAAAAAACAGGTAGTTATCTATTCAAATAATTTATTTCTACATGTCTTATAAATAATTTCTTTTTATCTTTGAAAATTAAATTTCTGTATTACATTAGCATATAAATATAAATAAACTTTAATTATTGGATTAGTTTTAAATACATTTTTTTTTTCAAAATTATTACAATAATATCGGTATTAGTTTAATTAAAAAATAACTATTTATTTTTCTTATAAAAAAAAAACTTAATTAATACTGTAATGTTCGTAATAATAATAATAATAATAATAAAAATTAAACTCTAAAAAACAACTAATAAATACATGTGTGTATGCAATAAATGTAACTCTAAGTACAGTATGGAATAAATTATAACAGAAATCTAAGACAGATGTGGGAAGTAAACGTGCACTCAATATAAATATTATAAAATAAAGATTCTTATAGCTATACAAAATTCTGCATTGCCTTATAAGTATATTATTGAACATGATAAAGTTAATTTGAATAAGTGGACAGATTAATTTTAAATTCTGAAACTTTATGATAGTCATCTATTACGATTACAATGAACTCTATAATTCACATCACTCTACACATCAGTCATTTTCTTAACACTATTTACTCTAATTTCTAATGACTAATTATGAATGTAATAGTATATTATATTTCTATTGATTTAAGATTGATATAGTGTGTAATGACGGTGTTCAAACATTAAAAAAACTTTCAAAATTGAGACCATTAAATATCCTATACATAGGCATTTTTAATAAAACAATACACATATACATAGGTGACACTTATATTTAATATAATATCATTCATTTAAATCGTAAATATCTTACACTGAGACGGATCAAGTTGTACGATTAATTACAAATATATTCTTCCTTTTTGTATTTACAAACTTCGCAAGCGACGTTACAACACCAGATGAATTTACATTTACACTTTTCCTCAACGTCCCTCAATCTGATTTGAAATCCTCTGTGGCAACACAAATGCCTGCATCCGTCCAGTCCTTGACACACGCGATCGTAAGTGCCCATAATGCTCAGCCTACGTGTGTTTAGACAAAAAGTAATTGAATATTGTTAGCGTGAGTATTATCATATTATATTTATATGTTTCTGTATACCATTAGGAGTTTAATTTTTACGGAAATAATATAACAATGTTCACTTACGATTCGTTGTGCTCGCAATAGTCCGGAGATGAATCCAAGTACACGAGTTCCGTTTTGTTAGGCGTCTTTCGGTCCATTCTGACCGGTCGTAGTTTTTTGATTTTCTTCCGTTTTTTCTCTCCTAGCCGTACGTGCGAAGCGCCTTCGTATCGTACCATCAACGAGTCTCCGATATCGCGAAACGATGAGAGTCTCATCCAACAAATTCGCACGCTGCATGAACCGGACATACCGTGACATTTGCATACTTTTTGCATGCTAGAGCGAATGATCTAAAAATCATAATACGGTCATTATTTGTCCGACGTATTCGAAATAAATACATTTTCACGTCGTTACGGGAAATTCGTCACATTTGAAATTACAATTGTACTTCATTTTACAAGCATGCAAATGTGCTTTCGAGGCGAATACACGCATAGACATATGTTTATAGATCACAAAATGTAAAAGAAACGAAAACACTGCTAGTAAATTATTTACATACACGGTATACGGTACAAATATTTAGATTTTTTTTTTTTTTAATTATTATTGTCTTACATAATACAATTAGAAGCAAGGTAGTTTTTAAAATACCAAATTTTATTTTTTTAATTACTATCATCATTAATTAATGGAGTTATTGATTTGCGAGTTTCAATTACTAATATGAAATACTGAGAAAATGACCCGGTAGAATATTATAGTAAACAATTTAGGAACACAGATTCTGTGAGGATAAAAAAAGACAAGAATAGGGGGCAGATGCGATACAAGAGTTGGATGTAAAGCTGCATACGAATTTTGTCCCTAAAAACGAAAATATACGTCACGATGACCGTGTTGTTTTTGCACAACACATCCGAGTTACATCCACAGTTTTTCGGTGACTGTTTCAAGTTCCGTTAGAAGAAGAATTATATACCATACATAATCAAGTTTATATGTTTGGTGATAAACTCGTAGATTATCTAGATTATAGATACCTTATCTGTAAATTCTACTTTATTTTCACTTCGAACATTTAACGTATAATCAATGAAAATATTTTTTATTTCAATTTTGCGACAATAATATAATATGAACAATTTTGAAATAATTAAACTGTTTAGTGAAAATAATAAGCAATTATACTGTGTTAATGGATACCAATTTACTTTTAAAAAGTTTTTCAAACAATTCAGAAGAATTGCATTTAGCGATAACCAATTTAGACGAGATAAAAACTAACAGGAACGAAATGAACAGGAAAAAATTGAGGACGCAACTAGAATAAAATATCATTTATGGACGTAATTTAAATGCTCAGGATGTAATACAGAAACAGGTGGCTGATACAACTGCATTTTTCCTACGCACTTAAAACCAATTTGCGACGTACCAGTGGTTTCGAAAAAAGATCGAAAAGCGAAAAAAAAGACATATCTGTATATTTAAAGTTAGTTTATAGTAAAACTTTATACTAATATCTTAGGACAAATATCTTATAATTTCACAATCAGGATGGCTTAACCATATTTTACAAACATAAATAAAAATTCAATTTAGTCGAAAAACTGTCTTCTCAAAAATGTTACACAAAGGATCAAACTGTACATTGTACTATATTATTGTATATATTATTATAGATACATACCCTCCGTCCGGCTTCGTTGTTGTGTACGTTCATTAACCCTTGAACACTGTCAGTATCTTCGATCGAGTCGACGAAATCACGACTAAATTTTTCACCAAAACGTATATCCTGCGAGTAAAAACACAATTTGTTTAAGCAGTAAGACTACGCAATATACACTGAAACTAGAGACGGTCTGGAAACAAAACGGTACAGGGATATTTGATAATCTAGCGACTTTTTTTCTAATTTTTAATAGACACATTTGCAACAACATATATAATTTATAAAGTAATCTTGGCTCTATGCAATTTTTAAAAACTAAATTAACAATTTTTACTTTTATCCCCATATTAACTTCTGGTAGATCCGATTCGGCCATGGAAGACGTTATACAATACTACTCGTATCTTTAATTATCACCTATCACAATATTTCTGAGCAAACAAACATGATTGTCAGTACGCATTTTTGGTACAATATTAAAATGTACTTAACAGATATTTATATTATATAATATGATTCATAATGCTTCTGGGCTGACACATAATCTGATGATTGTCACCAGCTGAGAGAGATAACTCCCCTGGTCAGTCCGCCTCTGATTGAAACAGTAGTGAGCTAGCGAGTATAAAAACAGTAACAATATTCGACGTACCTCTGAACATCCACCCCATTGCCAGTTCTTTTTGGAGTGTTTTCTTTGAATTTTACTGTCGCAACTGCATTCGTTCAGCTCTCCTCTGGAACACGCTTTGGTGATCGCGTACGCCACGCCTGCCGACGTAATGGCATGGACGTACGCTTTTTCTCTACTTCCTAAAATCACATATAAACATGTTCGTAATATTATTATTGTAAAGCGATTGATACTCGTAAATTCGTAGCGAATGTCCCCCAATGGAATCGTCTAGTTGAATCTTTTGGATATAGCTGGCTAGACTGCACTATATAAACACTCTAAAATTCTCTGATTAATATTCATATTACCTATGTATAACATTATTTAATGCAGGACTCCCGGGTATTACTGATATTACTGATATTTACCTCCCGAAGAAAAATGTATTCATTAATTATTTACTCCTATGGCATAACGTATACCACATATCTCCCCTAACAAAATGTATGACACCCCCCTCCTAGAAGAAGGCCTAAAATAAATATTAGGTGGATACGTACTAGCGAATGTATTCGATATCATTAATACGGTTAAATAATATGTCGACTGATACTCGAATTATGTGTACGATACTGAGCCGTTGACGCCGTGATAGATGTCTCTCCTCCTGTTTGTTGTATTAAATATTTAAGCCGAATCAGCAAAAAATGTTGAAGTGTTATACATGCATAAATTAGCCGTAACAATATTTTACATTTGTATAAAATATACCGGAAACTGAAGAATCCGTTTATAATGACTTTAAAAAAAAATTGGACGCAGTTAAAAAATTTCTTTTAGTTAAAATATTTTCTTAGATCTAAAGTAAAACTTAAAAAAAAAAAAATGTTTAAACTTAAATTCTGAGGTTCTAATATTGGAGGTATTTCTTACGTTTAATGTGGTTTTATGTGAATTTACCTCAGTTGTACTATCAGTCATCTTTGTTACGTCTTATTGTTATTTTTTTTTTTTTATGTAAAAATATTGTAGTATATTTTTAACAAAAAAAATAGTTACAAAATATACATATAGAATGTGTTTTAATTTTTTCATATTTAGCAAAGTGAACAAAATATTTTGTTAATCGAATACCATTCGGTCGATTCCATATTATTAGATTTATGTCGTGCAAAGCGGCATATCGTTATAAATTATTTTTTTTGTATTTATTTATCTATATAGATATAAACTATACATTTTTTTAGTATTTTCAGTTTAACGCGCGCATTTATTATTATATAAACAATATTATCAGTAGCCTTACTGTATTTCAAGGCATTGCCAAAAACAGACGTGTTATTTGAAAACGTAGTGCAATTCCATCGCTGCGTGCCGAACTGGTGCTGGCATTCTTCGATGGCCATTTTCGTGCCACTGCTCACGACCTATATGAAGAACACGTGAAATAACTGTATTTCAAGTATATCTATTTTTCTCCGTGTTCAACGCACTTACTTACACTTACTCTTACTTACACTCATTATGTTTTCACCGAGATCGCACAGCTGTTGTTGTCTACTCTGCAAAAATTGATATCGATAACAATTCTCTTTGTGGCTAATCAACGGGTCAAACTCTTTTGGTGGATAACTTTCCAGGCCCAAATACCTGTAAATAAAAAATAATTAAGTCAAATTAATCACTATGAGATGACTGAATAAATTTAATTGAATATTATATACTGTTAATAGTATTGTTGAGTTCACTCATCACATTATCTCAGCGCAAGTCAGTATAACCAGGGCCGACGAGAACTTTTAAGTGCCCCGAGACTGATCGGTTCCAGGCCTCTTTTGCATAAATTTGTATACATACTACTTGTACATGCTTGTACTTACTTTAGTACAGTAAAAATATTTAAATTTTCATCTTATGCTACGGTGAATGAGATTATAAAACAATTTGTATAAAAAGCTGAGATGACGTGCCCTCTCGGAGGTACAGGCCCCGGTGCTCTAACATTCCCCGTCCCACCCTCTCACCGGGCCTGAGTATGACAGAATAACTATTTATTTGAAAATTTAATTCGGAAAACGATTTAAAAAGTTGATCTAATTTATTATACTCTTATTTTACATGTATGTTTAAGTATAGATTTAAAGGAACATTTAAACATTTTTTAAGGGTTCGTAAAAAATTATAAGATTTTCAAATTGTATTACTAATAAATAAAACTCAAGTAAGTTATATTTGGAATTTTAAATATCATAATGAGCTATAGGAGAAAGAACAATAATAATTTCTATTAAGAGTAATCTATTAATAATATGACCATGAAATTAAAAAAAAATTCCACCACTATATTAAACATTAATATTTAATGGGTATAATAATGGATATGGAAATTTTAAATTTAAATCTACCGCTGTCAGAAACCCAAACTTTTGTGGTTTTATAATATATATTTTTAAATGGCGAATCGTTTAAAACACACCGTGAAATTCCAAAAACGGTTTTTTTATTTTTATGTGTACGTTAATACCGTATGTCCGTATTTCCTATCGTTATATTAGTTAATTTTTCCTTCCACAAAGAAATTATTTAGAATTTTTATGAAGAGCTTTTTAGTTCAATTGAAATAATGTTTAAAAACGTAAAAAAATAAAACGACTTGGCTATAAAACAAAATACCAATAGCTTTGCTTAGATTGTATAATAAATTAAACGTACATTTAATTTGTCTGTTATAAACGTTTTACCAATTCATATAATTAATAAGAAAGTTAAATTTATTATATGTAGTTCGGATTAAATCAGGTTTTGGTTTATAACTACAAACAAAAAACGTTTAATAAAATAAAAAAAAAAATAAACCACCGTGCGCAGGTATACGAAGGTACAGCTGTATAAAGAATAACTGTAGCGAATAACTCAATCTACACAACATTATTATACTCCACGTAATATTTTTTCTTCAGCAATATATTATGTATATAATTCTTACAAGCATGAAAAAATGCCCACACCAACAGGTAATTTTTCCTTCTATATATTGCATACAAGATTCGAAATATCTTATAGGTGTTATAATTACTGGTAATAAATATTTTTGTTTTTCCACCGCTATTTAATTTAATGATTAAAAAAAATCTTAAATGCTATGGGCGTGATCTATCTACGTCAAATTATTGAAGTAACCTAGTAATTATTTAGCCGAAACAGGCCACTAAACTGGCGGCAAAAATCACAAAGTGTGTAAAACAAATCTGACAACTTTTTTATTGAAATAAATTTTTATACACATATAAATATATATATTTTTTACTTATTGCCCCAGGCAACCATACAGTATGGGATGAGATATTATATTTTTTGTGTGTTATCTGTATTTCACCTTTACAGGATACCAATTAAACATATGTATTCTACAATTAAGAACGATTCTATATAACGTATATTCTCAAAAGTGTATTTGAAACGTGATGTATTTATTATTTATACGTATATAATATAGTGAAAGCCGTGCTCGAATTGAATGGAGAACTACGTAATAAGGGGACTTATGTGCTCTTATGAGCTATAGTTTTTTTTTTTTTTTTAATGTACCGTCCCACTGCTTCAGTTTTTAAAGAAACACGATTGTTACGGGGTGTGCATATATAATTTTCATTTTTATCATTATTTATTGATTACAATGTTACAACGATTCGCAATGGATTTACGCCTCTTTTTTAATAAATTGTGTTTTTATTATTTTATATTGAGCTTTATAAAAGCTAATAAGTAACACGCGATCACCATAATCATATATGATTACGATTTTTTATAGATATTAATTTTGTTTATTTAATAAATTTGTTTTATATGTGATATGTTTATTACAGATTGGCTTTTCGGAGGAGACTGTAACTCTCACTCACGGTTAAATAATTATGAGCACTCGGAAGACGGTTTTTATATATATAACAATTAGAGATCTGTATTAAATATATATTTTTTCAATAATTGAGCATTGGACGAAATTCATATTATTTCTTTAATAAAAATCTTATCAAAATTATCCTGATTCGTATACGTAATCTAAAATACTCTAAATTACTAATAAAATACTTGTTTAATTAATATAATATTATTATAATGTTAGTTTACATAGTACTTTGAGTTTATACATGTTAGCTTTTGTCAGTGAAAATTTCTTTCAAGAAAGTTTTATTGTCAACTAATATATTTGTATACCTATTGCGTAAATATTTATTAAAATAATGAAATTTATTAATGTTTACGTATTTTGAAAATGTGAGTACTTTGGCGAGTTATTTAATAATGTATTTTTTTATTGCGCTAGATGTTAAAAAAAGGGAAAAAAGTTAACATATTAATTTGCACCACTTCTATAAGCTCAAGTTCTGAAGATATAAGCCGTCAAATAAACCTTATACTAATTAGAGCTCTAAAATCAGTAAAATCACCCCAACGCTAGAGTTCCAAGTACCTTTATAGTAGTGTTCTTTTAACAAGGGTTATTATGCGTACACAACATATCCACGTCCTTATTAGACCTGCATATATTGTTATTCCAGAACAGGCACATATTGTTGTGTTATGGTTGCCTGGTAACCCCTTGAATTCAAAGACAAGGCTCCGCCTTTTCGGTTTTCCTTTATCTGTCAATCACCGGCCATTTTGGCCCCCCGATGACAGTCAACTGAGTAATAAGTACAAAATCTGTGAATTCTAACCTTACGAATATATTACATACATAAACCTTCTTTCTTGTGTTTAAAACACGTGTGCAATAAAATGTATCACATTTATTTAATAAAATAAAAAAATACCTATATGAGAAATAATTATAAATACAAAAATAACTTACAAAAATGTGAATGAATCATTAAAATGTTTAATGTTCAACATTTTGGAAAATCGTTACAATGATTATTTTATTGTTTAGAAGAAGTACAAGAGGGATATAATTGCAAAAAAATGTCATGTTTGATATGAATTTTACAATAATTTTATTCACGAACGTAACATAATTATTATAATTGCTTTTGATGAACAATTATGATAATTCGGTCGAACTAATGCAAAATTAAAATTTTCAGATCTTCAAATCTTTAAATCAAAATCAAATCAAAATCAATTCAAAATCTTCAAATTTGAAGTGAATATGAGCTGCTAACCATAATTCAAATAAAAATATGCATTAACAGTACTTACATAAATTTATCATTTACGAAGCGGAACGAAATAAAATTGAGGTACCCGAAATGTACACAATATTGTAGTCTACAGCAGATTCAAATAAATCCAGAAAATATATATAAATACAATATAGTGGTTATACTTATTATCATATACGAAAAATTAAGATCCCTACTACTTCTATTCAGTACTTCGTACTACGTAAAAATAACATAATATCGTCTACTCGTAGAGATTAACGGTTATACGAGGTAATTATAAGGAACTTATAATTAGTTTTATTCATAGTTTGAAATAAAAAAAAATGATTATAAAAATAATTTTATAATATTCTTCAATTTGATAATTAATAAATATAAACTTTATTCATGGTAGTATCTTTGTATGCTATTTTCGATGCCATTGTACTGTCTAAATTCTTACGGTCAAATCATAATTCATCCATGATGCTTCTCATTTTCATCAACAACGTGCTCATAAAAAAAACCTCGAATGATGGTAACATGACATGACAGCTGGAAGGTAATATGAGAGTTTTCGAAACCTATTTAAGGCTTGCGGTACATGGGTTTTGTCGTTTCTTCCACCTTACTTCACCCAAATAACATTGGTGTACATTGCACAATATAGTGCAGACAATTAACCGGATATCTAAGCAACTTATTTTTTAAGATTAATATTTAATACCATTATTATTTTACCGATTTATTTAATACATATTTTGAGCGCAATATATCAGTGATTGAGTAGTATATAAATCACGGGGTAAGAGTTGGCATATGTGCCCTGGCCTATCGTGAAATTGCAAGTGAAAACGTAAGTACAATTGCGTTGTTCAATGTCATTTTTAGGACGAAAATAAACAAATTTTATTTAATTGGTAGTATTTAGATGTATGGATATACTTAAACAATGAATCAATACCATATTATAATATACGAGTATCTACAATTATTCCTTTATATTTTGCACAATTGTTTGTAGAATTAATAATAAATTGTATGTACTCATATTTATATAATCTGTACTTAATAATTGCTGTATAAGTCATTGCGGTAGGTATGCAGTATTATGTACCCAATTTTACTTTTCATATATTAACCATGGATAACTATAAAAATAGCAACAGTATATAGACATGTCCTAAGCTAAGCGATCGTGGTAGTCCATTGACAAATCTTCTAATGAAAGTGATGGTTACGAGTAGTACATACATCGTATTTCGTGTACACATGTGGATATATAGTTTAATATTATAATAATTTATAATATATATGTATATATATTTATATTTTAATAAAACAGGTTTTGAACACTAAAATATTAATCCTATAAATTATGTTCACTGTTATAATTAGTTAATGGACACCGTAACTCAAAAAAATATATACGTATATTTGTGCATAATTATCCATAATATAAATTATATTTATGAGTGTATATTATAAATGATTTGTCTAAAC